AGCCACGATTACTTTATGTCATTTAGAGAAGATTTTTCCTCCAAACTTTTTCATTATTATGATGCATTTGGTTATCCACCTTCCATAAGAAGCAAAAGTCGGTGGACTAGTTTATTATTGATTGATGTATTCTATCAAAAGGTATTATTTGTTAATAGCTTGATTAGGTTGTTATTATTGATCATGCCACTCTAATTAAAAAGATATATGAAAAATGTTTTATGCTATAGGTTTTTTGACAGGTTAAAGTCTTATTATCACAACAAACGTTATCCGGAAGGTTTTATTGTTGAAAGATATTTAGCAGAAAAGTGTATAACATTTTGTTCTCGTTATTTGAAAGATGTTGAAATGAGATTTAATAGACCATCGAGAAATGTTGGTATGCAGCATACTAACTTTACCTAGAGTTATTTTTTTGAAAGTTTTGGACAACCAATAGGTAAAGCTGAAATGGTGGAGTTAGATGATAAATCTTGAGTACAAGTACATCGATATGTTCTTTTCCATCATGACTCAATTGAATCATTTCGCACGTAAGTTTTTTTGCAAGGAAATAATTTATTCCATTAAGCATAATTTATAGTATTTTTTGTTATTGTTAATACTTAATGTTTATAGTGATATAAATATTTTGAGATCATTCAAATTATTGTTGATGCAAATTAGAAGCTAAAATAATTGTTTTATTGGTCATAAATGTTAGTGGCATCTGTAATTCCCAATGAGAATCTAATAGAATTCATGATCAAACCTCGAAGCTTAATAAGTTGTTCCTCAAAAATTTTCATAAATGGTTAAGAGCAATTGTAAGCAATGTCATACTTCCCATTATGAGAAATCTACATAGAATGCTCATGGTATAACTAACATTAATAACATATATATATTTATTCCACCTTTATAGGTTTTGAGTGGAAGGCTTGTTAGTAAAGAGGTGAAGTGTCTTTTACAAGGTTCAAAAAGGATTGTGAAACGATACAAAAGTTTCAACATCAATAGATTTAGATTTCACACTAAATCCCATGAGAGTTTTAGAAGTACACAAAATTCAAGAGTTATTGTTACTTCATCAACTACTAGCTATGCTAGTTATAGAGATACAAACTTTTTAGAGAGAAATGTTGACTATTATAGCATGATTAATGACATCATTGAGTTGGATTATTATGGTAAGTGAAAGTTATCTTATTTTGGTGTGATTAGACTGATGTGAATAGTGTAAAGGTATTAAGAAAGATCAGTTTGGATTTACACTTTTAAATTTTTCTCGATTAATTTACATCGGATAACAGCTCATCAATAAACCTTATGTTTTTTCATCTCAAGTAAAACAATTTTTTATTTTGAAGACCCTAAAGAATTGGGTTGATTTGTTGTTCTTCGAAACACATCTAGAGATTTATTTGATATGGGGTTAAATACCAGAGATGATGTTGAACATGAACTAAATGTTATCCTTTTGCTGAACAAAACTTGGATAAAAATATCTCATGTACCTATGCTCAGTAGGTCTGCAAAGATGTTAATGAAGACATTTATGAACCATGATGAATCATCGATATTTTGTAATTCGAGTGTTTAAGACATAATGTAATAAATGTTTGTATGTAATTAATGTTGCATTTGCTATTGTATGTTTATTGTATTGTAAATCATACATTATCTTTTAATTTAATTAAATCGATATGTTTTTTATATATCGTTGGTTATGATTTCTTAACTTCTCAATGTCTTTATATATGTTCTAAACTAATATCTTTTATATATTTGCTTTTATGATGCAAGTAAGCTACAATGCGGAGGAATAAATTGAAAGGAATACATATCAGAGATATTAGTTCAGAACCCTCTGTGGCACCTATTGATATTGGCTATGGACTGAATCCTTTGGAGGAAATGAACATACTATCAGTTCTAACTCAGTCATTTCTAACCCTTCAACTGCTATTGGATTTGGTAATACTAGAGGTCTAAGTTTAGATAGTATCCCATCAATTGATTCTACTTTAAATTTGAATGCAGGTATTATATACCCCATATTTAGAATTCGATTATAATGATTAAAGTATTGGCATTTTACAAATTGATTTTTTATTTTTTGCAGTTGATAACAATGGTTAGCGGAGGACCAGAGCTGGACAACTTTGAAGGAATTATTTACACTATCTCTAAACGAGCATATTGTAGTGTCTGTAAACTCTTATAGACAACCAATTGGTGAAGAGGCTCAACTGTTGCCTGGATTTCTAGGCATGCTTGCCCATAATAGAATGAAATTGCCTATTCATTATGAAACATGGCATAAAGTTTCAACAAAAGTTAAGGCGATGCTTTAAACTTTATTAAGATATTAGTATAATTAATTACATATAAAAATATAATTATTTTACATTTGGTTTATTGATTCAAACTTTTCTTATTATATTATTACAGTCAAGATTTGTACTTGAAATACCAATTTCATTTGTGCTTAAATCATTGGGAAATAAATGGAAATACTATAAGCATAATTTGAAGAATAAGTATTTCAATCGAAATACTACTGTAGAGGCCACAATGGAAAATCTATCCCGTAATGTGATTAGGTGATAATATGAACAATTAGTTAGATTTTGATTCTCAAAAAAATTAGAGGTACTAATTTATAAGTGTTTTATTGCTTTAAGGGTGGTTCAAATATTTGTACTGTCTTACCATATATACGTAATTATTTTTTTATGACAAGAAAGAGAATAGATTAGGATTGGTAGCAGAAAGCAACAAAAATATAGCCACACAAGTGGATCAAAAAGTTTTGCAAGAAAGCAAAAAAAAAATAGTAAGTTTATGATTTTAAACTTATTCGAATGAATGAACTTTTTGTACTGTTAAAAAATAAAAATGCAAATTAACAATTATTATTTTATTTTAATAGTTTTGATGGTTTCAATATATGATATTAAACTTATCCAAAGTATTGAACTTAGTTTCCACGATTGATACATATGAAAAAGTTATTGTTTGCGTCTATTTAAAACTTTTGTGCTGTTAATAGGTAAAAATACAAAATTGTTATTATTGTTCTATTTGAACAGTTTAGATAGCTTCAATACATGATATTAAACTTGTCGAATGATTGAACTTGGTTTCTATTATTGATATGTGTGAAAAAGTTATCGTTTATATCTATTTGGGACTATTTTTGCCTTTTAAAGACAAAAATACAAATTAAACTTTTGGATGGCTTTTAATAGCTTAGATGACTTCAATATATGATATTAAACTTGTCCAAATAATTGAATTTGATTTTCATGATCGATATATGTGAAAGGCCAAAATACTTTTATTGTTTACATCTATTGAAGACTATTGTGTTGTTAAAAGACTAAAATATAATTTTACAGTTATATTTCTATTTTAACAATTTAGATAGATTAAATACATGATATTAAACTTATTCAAAATTTTGAACTTAATTGACAGGTTTGATATGCATGAATAAGTTGCAGTTGATATGTATTTAACAATAACATATATTTTTATATAAGAGATTGAATGGGTAGTAAAATTGGACATGTGAAACTTTTTCGCTTAATGCACACAAAAAAGATGAATCTTACATGAATGTCGAAACACAAGAAATTATAATAATTTGTAACATCTATTTTAAGATAAAGTAAATACTTACTCCTTTTATCATATTATGAATTAATCATTAAACTTTATAGTTTTATCTGATTAATTTATAAGAGAAAGCAAAGAGAAAATGACTGCTGAGATTGAATTAGCATCTAATGGTTCTATCAACATGCAAGAATTGAAAAATCAGATTTTCACAAAAGTTGCTTGAAAAGAAAGGCATGAACGGGTCCGAGGTTTTGGATTGGGTCTAACATCATCTACCTATTATGAATGTAGCTCTCAGCATTTTATAGTCTCACTAAGTCAGTCTTTGTGAGATATTTCCATATTGAGAGATGAGTTGCAAACTATGCAACAACATTTTCAGTAAATGGATGCAGAAAGAGAATAGGAGTGTACCAAAATTAAAGAAGAACGTGCTAGAATTGACCAAAAGCGTGCAAAATTTTAGTAGTTACCTGATCGATTTAATCATCTTATAAATTTTATGCAACAATAATTTTCAGGAATTAATCTCAGTGGTCCACCAACTCAATTATTATATTTAGTAAATATTTATATTTTTAAATATAAAAAATAGCTTATTATTAAGTGTTAAAACTTGTAAGATATTATTTAGTAGGTTCTTGAGCACGCTAGTGACTAAGGTGAAAAAATTATTTCATCAAATGGTAGTCTTTCAAATCTATACAGTCATCAATTTCATATATTTTAAATTTTTTTGTTAATGTATTAAAATAATTTGAATGTTATTATACTAATTATTAAACTTTATGTTAATTACATGCATATTTGAACGTGAATTAATTATTTATTAATTTCAGTTTCTAAATTTTAGTTCATTTTTATTTCTTTTAACATTTCTTGTTAATGAAAATAATAAATATTAAAAGAAATTTTAAAAAAAAAGTAAATTTCTTAATTTCGCAACGTTCAGATTTAAATTCTAAATTTAATGGCGTTATACCATAAAATGCCATTAAAAGTAACGATGTTCTTATCAAAAAACGCCACTAAATTAGCAACGTTCCTATCATAAAAATGTCGCTTAATTAACAGCGTTTTTATAATACAAACACTACTAATTTAGTAGTGTCTTATGATATAAACGTCACCATATTAACGGCGTTTTTTGGTACAAACGTCACTAAATTAGTGACGTTTTCAATATACAAATGTCACTAAAATAACGGCATTTTATAAAAAAAATATCGTTATTTTTCTCGACATGTGTATAGCCGACACTCTTAGTAGCATTTTTTGCAAACGTCGTAAATCTTTTAGTAATGTTTATAAACACCACTAAACGTTAAAAAAAAAATGCTACTAAAGACCTAAACCCCTATAGTGGGATATGTGTCTTTGACTTCTTGGCCTAATGGCAACAAGAAAGATAAAATAGACATGAAAGCTTGAGTTCGAACCAAGTTGACCCCTTCCCATCCTTCAAGTCCCATGGGCAAAAAAAAAGTTTGGGATACTTCTTATCGAATTATTAAAAAAAAAAAAAAAAACAAATTAGAGAGGGGGAAGATTTGAGCAAGAGAGGGTAATTTAATGAACGTGTAAAAGCACTTCTTATTTACGTTACATTTTGGTGTAATGAAGTTCTTGATACAAAAGAAACATTTAAAAAAAAAATTAACTTAAAACTCACAGTTTTTGTTTCTGACAATTTTCATATGAAACAGGTTGACATCTCTTATGAGCACAAATAAGAAAACTTATAACACGGCGTGGCATTTGTTTGAAATATGGCAAACACCTTATTAGCATATAGGCAAAGGAGCACCATCCCACTCCTTCAAGCAATCCAGCAAAGGATCAATCAACTTCCCTGCACACATTGCTGAGAAAACCTTGTCACATTCTTCTCCTGGAGAAATCACCTTCTCACCTGTTAACAAATTAGTACCGAGAACTTCTCTCACAAACTTGTACAATGGATAGGACCTGCATTCTTTGATCTTGTTTGGAATAGCTGGATTTCCATTTTCAAATTCGATTCTAGCACTTTCAACTTCTTTAGGCAAAAGGGTTTTTAGTTCTTCTTCAAAGGCTCCAATCTTTTGGAAAATTGAAGTGGTTGAATTCTTTTCTTTGTCACCATTCATCAAGGCATGGTCTACTAGTACTTGTCTCAGTTTCTGTATTAATGGGTAAGTTGCACTGCAAGGATCATCAATGTAGGCATAGAGATATTCGCGATCGACAACTCTGAGCAGGTCTTTTTCACAGAATCTTGATGGATGAAGTTCACCATTGCATCCCATGGTTAGGACTCTCTTAGTCACTTGACAAACTGTGTTCTTCACAGTATTCTTCAAATTCTCTTCCAAATGCCTCAGGTCAATGGCTTGGCATAGGGCAATCAAGAAAGTTGAAGACATGAGCTTCAATATGTCGACAGCTTCAGCTGTTTTTCTTGCTGATATCAAGCCTAAAGAGTTCACATCTTGGTTGTGTTGCTCAGCACTTTGGACATGATTGGTGACAGGGTTGCCAAGGTATTGAAGCTCTGAGCAGTAAGAAGCCATTGCAATTTCTGCTCCCTTGAAACCATAATCCAGGCTTGGATTGCGGCTTGCAGACAGATTTGAAGGCAAACCATTGTTGTAGTAGTCATTAACAAGCTCAGAAAATTGAGCAAACATGAGTTTGCCAATTGCAGCAATGGCTAGACGAGTGTTGTCCATTGAGACACCAATTGGGGTACCTTGGAAATTCCCTCCGTGTAAAGCCTTATCTCTTGATACATCAATCAAAGGATTGTCATTCACAGAATTGATTTCTCTTTCAATCATTTTGGTTGCTGACCTGATCACTTCAATCTGAGGGCCAAGCCATTGAGGGGAAGTTCTAAGAGCATATCTGTCCTGTTTTGGCTTCTGAAGAGGATCCATTTCGTGCAATTTTTGTGCTGCTTTTATGTAAAAGCTACCATCCAAAATGTGTTCCATAATTGCTGCAGCTTCAATTTGCCCTGGATGATGCTTCAGCTTGTGGGTCAAGTGGTCAGTAAATTCAGGTTTGCCTTGCATAACTTCAGCAAAAATTGCTGATAAAACTTCTGAGAGGACTACTAATACATTGGCCTCAAAAAGGACCAAGGAAGCTAAGCCAGACCCAACAGCTGTGCCATTTACTAGAGCAAGACCCTCTTTGGGTTGCAACTCAAAAAATCCACCATTGATCCCAGCTCGGCTAAAGGCTTCTGTGGGATTCAAGGCCTCACCATTAGGTCCAACAGCTTTAGAATTCGGCCTGCCAGTCAAAAGCCCAGCAATGTAGGAAAGTGGCACCAGATCACCAGATGCAGAAATTGATCCCCTGAGTGGCACACAGGGTGTGATGTTCACATTAAGGAGCTTAGTAATGGCTTCCAGGATCTCAAATCTAATCCCCGAATATCCTTGCAGAAGAGTGTTGATCCTCACAAGCATAGCTGCCCTCGTCGCGGTGTGAGGCAACGTATGGCACGACTCAGTACCTTGGCCGAAAATTCCTGCATTCAAGAACCTGTTGCAACAAAATTATTTTTAGTCACATTTTACAATGCAAAAAGCTTATAACTTCAATAACAAAATCGGGGTTTTTAGTCACATTTTTCAAGTTTTTCCCTTTTTTCTATGTATTGACTAGAACATATGGATTTTTACAGAAGTTACCTAATATTAAGTGATTGGTTTGACTCTTTTTAGTCAAAATCATTTTTTAATTATTTTAAATTATATAAACATCAACCCTTAACAATTTAATATTTTTGGATGTATTTATTTCAATGAGTCTAAAAGATTAAAGGTTTGTTTGAATGGTGTATGAAATTAGCTCAATGAGATTTAAAATAATTGTAGAGATGAGAATGATTATTGTAAAAATAAAATTAAAATTAATGATAAAATATATATTTTGATATAAAAATAATCGTAATAGTAAAGTGAATTGTAATAAAAAAATGATTATTAAGAATATTAGAGTAAAAATTTTATATAATAAAATTTAAATTATTTTACATTTATAAAATTTATTCATTATATAAATTTTATTAATAAATAATAAAATTTATTCAAATTATTTATTAATATATTAAATAATAAATTTTATTTATTATATTAAATTAACAAATTTATTTTATAATTTTTAAATAAAAAAATGTAAGAACTTTTTTTACATAATAATAATTTTTAAAAGATAAAAATAAAAAAGTAAAAACTTTTGTTAACCGATCATCAACTGAACAAAAAATATCAATGGATAATTGACCAATCATCAATCATGTCATTAATTTATTTGACGGAAAAAATCACGATTGACAAACTTTATTATTACAATTGCACCATTGAAGCCATGTAATGTAGTGTAATTCAGCTTAGACAATCGAATATTCTGTTTCAATAAATCAATTGAGAGCAAGCAAAAAATCCTCCCATTTTTGACCTGACAAAATTGAAGTGTTGGAGATTGGCAAATTTAATTTTTTATATTGTTTCTTAAATTTTACTTCACCACCAACCAAATAACAATCTAAACTCCACAAGTAAATAAGATTTATTATATTTCATTAATCCTCAGATCCCATGTAAACTTGTAAAATAAATAGTAACAAAAAATTATAAAATTTGGAAGATTTATTAGTTTACTTCACCTAGATATTTCATTTGGTTGCCAACAACTGTATTATTTATTGATAAAATATTAAATTTTTAATTTTAATAAATTAATATTTAATTCTCGACAACTTCAATTACTTAAAGACTATTTCATTTAGTTGAAGAGAATTAAGTCAGAAACTATTTTAAATGGCTATATTTTTCTAGTGATCCAGAAAATAAAAGTGTGCCCTCCCTAAATTAAACGTGATCCATGTTAATTGTTATAATGACAACGCTGAAAAAAAATATATATATATATATATATATATACGGAAAAAAGATTAAAAATTCATAAACCAGTAGAGTTATTCATATTTTCTTTTCCATGACAATTTTGTATTAAAAGTTAGAAAATAGAAAATTTTAAAAAAAATTTGGACATTTAAACCTGATAATTTAAAATACGATATAGTGATATTATACGAATACGATAATAAAAAAGATATGATAAAGACACAATTTAAAATTTTAATAATAATTATATATGAATTTAATAAAATAAAAAATATATATTTTATATTTTAATGTCGATACAAATTATAATCTGTAATGTTTAGGTAAAATATAATATAAATATATAAATTTAAATATTTTATATGATATAGATACACCAATCATCATACATATAACATATGAAAATAAAAAGAAGAAAAGTTAAATGCATAGCCTTTCACCTAATTAATTGCTAAGGCAGATAACCCGGAATCCACCTACCAAACATGGTGGATTGAGTGTTGGGCTAATTATAGCTAATTTAAAGGTTAAGTAGTAAATTCAATAATTCATATATTTAAATTTTATCTGTTTTATATTGAATATATGTAAAATATAAAAATTATTATCATAATTCATATCGATATATTAAATATGAAATATATTTTTTAATTTTTTAAAATTATATATAATTTTTATTAAAATTTTAAATTATATCATTTTTTATATTTTATTTTATCATTTTTATCACGTAATTTTATGTATTTAAAATTATTAAATTTACTCATTAATTTAATTTAATGGAAAAATACCAAATATGTATGAATGAACTACGTTCTATAAACATCAAATGAAGAAAGACTCAAACTTGATCTGATGATTGTTACTATTAATTTTTTTTAAGAGGTTGAGGTTCCAGGTTAGAATTATGTTTTTTTTTTTTTGTAATTCTTATATCTGAAAAAAAAAATCTGAGTAAGTTACCTTATAAGCTCCATTTGGAGGGCAGCTCCTTGTTTGGTCCTCCTATGAGAGGTTGCACCGAAGCCAGTGGTGACCCCATAACTATCTGTACCTTTATTCATCCCTTCCATGACCCAATCACTGCTTGCCTTAACAGACGGCCGGGCTGCTTCCGAAAGCTTGACCTTAACACCGGCATCACCGTTCGCAATAGCTGTCACTTGAGCTACGGTTAAGGTTTTTCCCCCGAGTTGTACCACCGGTTTCCGGTACTCATCAACCATACGCTTAACGTCGTCAAGATGACTACCCTTTAAGGACTCAGCTGACGCACCCCAGTTCAATGGGTCACTTGTGCAAAACCCTGGTGATGATGAGCCGTTGGCATTGCATTGAGTCAATACCTCCCTTGGTTCCATAACTTTGGCTCCCTCCAAGAATAAGTGAAAAAAAAAATGTTGAAATGAAATTTGGTCGGTGCCTTGGTGGCCTAAAAATGGACCAAAATCTGACCAAAAAAATGTGAATTTCAGAGCCAAATAAAAACAATGAGGAGACACAAAGATAATGGCTTATAATTGACCTTGGGACACTACATAAAGGAAATTAAAGATTTTACAATGGAAATTTTCAGGCAAAGTGAAAATTCCTGAGTCTGTCTAACAAAATTTTGGTGGCTTTAAATAGAGAAATGGGGTGTGGACATTGAGGGTTGGGTGGGTAGGCCGATAGGTTGTTGAAAACTTCACGTGGCCGTCGGATCTTCATGATTTTCGATGGTTGTGATGATGACACGTAGCAATCATGTTATTGGTGATAGCAAAACAAAAAAAAATCTAAGCTTCAAGCTGTTTTTTTTTTTTAATTATTTCTTTATTGTCAAAAGAAAAATGGTACAAGAAATTGAAAGAGAAGGGGGGTTGGTGAGCACTCGGGGACGCACGACGGCAGCCACGTCACCCGCAATTCTTCAAGTGAAAAAAAAATACCAATTTATCCATTTTTTTATGATATTGAAATATTGTTTTATGTTTGGTTGAACCTGAAAATTAATTCAAAAGATTCACATAGTTAATTTTAAAAAATAATATTAATTAATTTAAATTTTAAATCTTAACATTATGACTTTTTTTTGTAAAAAATGCATTAAAAGAAAAAAATTTTTAAATGTAAATTAGTGATCATTGGAAGAAATATTTATTTCAAATTAGATTTTAAATTCGTGCAATATACGAAAATATATTTATATTTCAATAAATTTTTTAAAATAATAATATAAGTTATGAAGTTTATGAACAATTCATAACTTATATAATTATTTTTATTTAAATTTATATATTTTAATATAATAAAATTAATTAATTACATATTGAATATATTTATGCAATTCATTAGGAAAATAGGGTCCAACCCAATGTAATTAGTTTTGAACCAATCAAAGACCATGTGCCTTGATCTTTTTTTTACACAGAGTTTTGATAGCATTTGTTGGAGAGATAAACCACACTTAGAGCCTATGAGAGTACACTAGAGAGCCCATAAGAGCACACCAGAGAGCTCATACATACATATTAACATTACTTGAGCCCAAAAGCTTAAGCTATTAGGTTCTTGGGTCCTTCATGCATATATAAGACATTTAATTCAGATTTTTTAATTATGTGAAATTTTTTACTCACGTGTGAAACATATCTCAACACAATTATCATCCATTTAAAAAAAAAAACTCAAACTATAATTTATTAAATCCAAATAATCTCTAAACAAAAGATAATAATATTTTCGATTTTAAGAAATTAAAATTTTCATCTTTAAAATCAATCTCGTATACAAACTTTTTTTATGGGAGATTTTTTCATAAGTTGTTGAAACAAAGATGCAACAATTATTTCTCCGGTATTTCTTGCAATCTTTGAAGTAAGTATCATTTTATTTTATGAGCCAATAGATTTCACAGATAGAGTTAAAGAAATAAATAAAATAATAATTTATAATTTGACAACTGTTGAATACACTAGAAGAGCCCATAAGAGCACAGCAGAGAGCCCATACATGCATATTAACATTACTTGAGCCCAAAAGCTTAAGCTATTAGGTTCTTGGGTCCTTCATGCATATATAAGACATTTAATTCAGATTTTTTAATTATGTGAAATTTTTACTCACGTGTGAAACATATCTCAACACAATTATCATCCATTTAAAAAAAAAAACTCAAACTATAATTTATTAAATCCAAATAATCTCTAAACAAAAGATAATAATGTTTTCGATTTTAAGAAATTAAAATTTTCATCTTTAAAATCAATCTCGTATACAAACTTTTTTTATGGAAGCTTTTTTCATAAGTTGTTGAAATAAAGATGCAACAATTATTTCTCCAGTATTTCTTGCTATCTTTGAAGTAAGTATCATTTTATTTTATAAGCCAATAGATTTCACAGATAGAAGTAAAGAAATAAATAAAATAATAATTTATAATTTGACAACCTTTGAATTATAATCTAGACTATATAACTTTATAACATATATAATCATTATAATAAGTTTATACTTATCTCTTCCAATAATTTTTTCTATTTAAGTTTAGGATCATAATCATACACCTTATTCACTATAAGTTTGGTACTACTTGTCTCAAGATTATACTTGGTTGCTCTCATATTGAACACACAAATTTTATCTCAGAGATTTTCAAATATCTTTTTGGATTTTATAATCTTCATTTCTCTAAATCATAAGTATAAATATATTATTCAATTAATTTAAATATTAAATAATATTAAAATAATTTTTAACTCAATACCTTAACAGATATTTCATAAAAATCGTCAATATCTCTATTAATTAAATCCCTAGCTTCTGTATTGAACTATATGAACATTGCTCTTCCAAAATTATCATATGCCTTAATATTCAACTTGTACCTATAAAAAATATAAAATTATATAATTATAAATATAATATAATAATTTAAAAACTTTTATTATTATCATGGAATAATAATTTTTTTATGTATCAAATATAAAAAATATAGATACAAATTACCTTGGTGTTGGATTAGGGACATCAACCTTGCAGGAATAATATTGAAATTTTTCATCAATTTCATATAGTTTCTTGTTACACCTACATGATATATAGTACCAATCAAAAGTGATATCAATTTTTATTATAGTGACTCACTGATGAAAAACTTTTCCTGTATATACCCAATCATTTTTAAATCAAGCATCAATAAAAAAAATATAAAAAAAGAAAGCTAACATCATAGTTAAATAATATATAATATATAAGTACAAAAAAAAAATAAGTGAAAATTAGAGAAAAAATTGAAATGGAGTTAAGTAGTGATCAAAAGATATAAAATTAGTGAAAAGTAGTTAAAAATGCATTATGTTTAACCTAGAACTACTTATACAAAAGATGTGTTATAAGTTAATTAATAAGATAATTTTAAATTATGAAAGTTAATATTGAAATAATAAAAATTATGAGTGAATAATGATCTAACAATGGCAAGTTGATTGATATTGAAATATTTTATTCTGTCATTAATATTTAAAGATCCTTAATTTAGAACAATAAAACAAATTAAATTTATTGTATCTAATAATGGCAATAAAACAAATTAAATTTTAATTAAATCAACATACATTAATATCTAAATTTTAAGATTATAAAGCAATACAAATGAAATCTAATAAAATCCAAGTGCATTAATATTTTACCAAATAAAATCAAACGTGCATTAGTATTTTACCAAATGAAATCATATTTAATGAAATATAAATCTATCAATCAAATATAAATTAATAAAATATTTTATTTCATTAATTTAATTATGGAGAATTAATTTGATATATTTGTTTTCTATATTTACACATGAAATATATCAATTACTCAAATGGATACTATATTTAATCAAATATAAATATATCAAATAATTGATTAAAGAATCAATTATTTTATAATTGTAATTGTAGTATTTATTAAATTATTAATTAATTATATATTGATTGATTAATTTGTCAAATTAAGAAATTTTAAAATTTTTATACTTTTGATATGAATTGAATTTAGAGTAATTTAAAGTCAATAATAAAAACATAAATATAGTCGATTAATAAGATAATTTAAATATGAATGTTAATATTGAAATAATAAAACTTGTAAGTGAATAATGGTCTACCAATGACAAGTTGATTAATATTAAAATATTTTATTCTGCCATTAACATTTAGAGATTCCTTAATTTAGAACAATAAAACAAATTAAATTTATTGTATTTAATAATGACAATAAAACAAATTGAATTTTAATTAAATCAACATGCATTAATATTAAAAAATAAAATTATAAAATGTTACAAAATTAAATCAACACGGATTAATATTTTATCAAATGAAATAAAATGAAATCATATTTAATGAAATATAAATTTATCAATAAAATATAAATTCATAAAATATTTTACTCCATTAATTTAATTATGAAGAATTAATTTGATATATTTGCTTTATATATATACATACATCATGAAATACATCAATTACTCAAATGGCTACTATATTTAATCAAATATAAATGTATCAAATAATTAATTAGAGACTCAACTATTTTATAATTGCTATTATATTATTTATTAATTTATTAATTATATATTAATTGATTTAATATTTCAAATTAAGAAATTTTTAAAATTTTAATATTTTTAATATTAATTGAATTGAGAGTTATTTAAAATCAATAATAAAAACATAAATATAATCAATTTAGTTTTTTGAATTATATTTGCATTATATATTTACACATGAAATACATCAATTACTAAATATTATATTTAATCAAATATAAATGTATGAAATAACTGATTAGAAAATCAACTATTTTATAATTGTAATTGTAGTATTTATTAATTTATTAATTATATATTGATTGATTTAATTTGTCAAATTAAGAAATTTTGAAAATTTTAATACTTTTAATATGAATTGAATTGAGAGTGATTTAAGATTAATAAAAAAATATATAATCAATTTAGTTTTTTGAATTATTTTTAAATTAAAAATGTATTAAATAATATAAAATACATTTTTTAGATGTCATGTGATGATTTTTAAAACCATCCACATATCAACATTTTAAGTTGTTCACATAAGATTTTTTTCCATTTTTGCCAAAAGCTTTGGCTTTTATATATTTATATAAGAAAATCAAATGAAATCATATTTAATGAAAAATAAATGTATTAATCAAATATAAATTAATAAAATATTTTATTCCATTAATTTAATTATGGAGAATTAATTTGATATATTTGCTTTATATATTTACACATGAAATACATCATGAAATACATCAATTACTCAAATGGATACTCTATTTAATCAAATATAAATGTATCAAATAATTAATTAGAGAATTAACTATTTTATAATTGTAATTATAGTATTTATTAATTTATTAATTATATATTGATTAATTTAATTTTTTAAATTAAGAAATTTTTAAAATTTTAATACTTTTAATATGAATTGAATTGAGAGTGATTTAAAATCAATAATAAAAACATAAATATAATCAATTTAGTTTTTTGAATGATATTTGCTTTATATATTTTACACATGAAATACATTAATTACTGGATACTATATTTAATCA